ACCAACTCTTCAGCAACAAAACCTTGCCAAAATGAAATTTTTGAAATTCCAGGTTGATTTTAAAATTGTTCAATAAACTTCAGGAGAAAATTGAAAGTCAACATAAAGAATTAAAAAAAAAAAACACAAAACTATTCAGGACACGAATGAAAAATTCTCCAAAGAGATAGATACCTTAAAAAAAAAAAAAAAGCTGAAATTCTGGAAATGAAAGAAGCATTTAGGGAAGTAAATAATGCAGTGAAAGGTTTTAACAGTAGACTAGAAGAAGCAAAAGAAAGGCTCTCAGAACTTGAAGAGAACAAAGAACTTGGAACAAAGTCTCCAAGAAATGAGGGATTAAGTAAAACATCCAAACCTAAGAATCATAAGTGCTCCTGAGGAAGAAGAGAAAGCAACAGGTTTGGAAAACCAATATGAGGAATAACAGAGGAAAACTTCCTTTGCCTTGCCAGAGATCTAAATGATCAGATACAAGATGCCCAAAGAACTCCCAAAAGATTCATTGCCAAAAGGTTATCCCCAATGCACATAATCATCCAACTATGCAAAGTTAATGTAAAGGAAAGAATTTTAAGAGAAGTGATAAAAAAGCATCAAATAATTTACAAAGGCAGATCTAGCAGACTAACAGCAGCCTTCTCAGAAGAAATCCTACAAGCCAGAAGGGATTGGGGCCCCATCTTCAATCTCCTCAGAGAGAGTAATGGTCAGCCAAATATTTTGTAGCCTGCAAAACTAATTTTCATAAATGAAGAAGACATGAAGTCCTGCCAGACAAGCAAATGCTGATGGACTTTGTCACCACTAGACCAGCTCTATAAGAAATACAGAAAAGAGTTATAAATACTGACACAAAAGATCAAAACACAGCAGTAGAAAAACACTGAAATTAATTTAAAGGTATTCTGAAGAGATCATCTAAAATTCTAATAAATGAACTGAAAAGGAAAGCTAAAAAAAAAAGAAAAGAAAGAAAAACACTGGAAATCATAAAATTCACAGACTTTATGGAACACCAGCACAATAGAGAAAATAAATAAATAAAGCAACCAAGTAACAACCAGTATGATGAATAGAATAATACCATACATATCATTATTAACTTGGAACGTAAATGGTCTCAATGCTCCACTAAAAAGACAGAGACTGGCAGAATGGATTTAAAAAACACAACTCAAATACCCGCTGCCTTCAAGAGATCCATTTAACTCACAAAGACTTCTACAGATTCAAGGTAAAGGGGTGGGGAGAAATATTCCATGCACATGGAAACACCAAACTAGCAGGAATAGCCATTTTCACATCAGATAAAACAAACTTTAACAACAGCAAAAAAAAAAAAAAAAAAATCCTAAAAACACACACAAAGATGGCTATTAAATAATGATAAAGGGATCAACCCAACAAGAAGACATAACAATTTTAAATATATATGTGCCTAACACCAGAGCCCCAGCTTTTTAAAACAAATTCTACTAGACCTAAGAAAAGAGATAATTAGCAATACAATAATAGTGAGAAACGCCAACATTTCAATGACAGCAATAGACAGATTATCAAGGCAGAAAGTCAATAAGGAAACATTGGAGTTAAACAGGACTCTAGAGGAAATGGAACTAACAGATAGCTACTGACCACATTACCCCCTGAGAACTGGAATAAGGCAAAGATGCCCACTTTCACCACTACTATTCAACATAGTACTGGAAGTCTTAGCCAGAGCAATCAGGAAAGAAGAAGAAATAAAGGGTATCCCAATTGGAAAGGAGAAATCAAACTCTAGGCATAAGATTATATCTAAAGAACACTAAAAGACTATTCCAAAAGACTCCTGGACTTGATAAATGAATTAGGTAACATTTCAGGATACAAAATCAACACACACAAGTCAGTAGCACTGCTATACACCAACAGCGACCAAATTGAGACTCAAATAAAAAACTCAATTCCATTTACAACAGTGGCCAAAAAACTAAAATACCTAGGAATATATTTAACCAAGGAGGTGAAAGAGCTCTACGAGGGGAATTAACAGAACTCTGATGAAAGAAATTGCAGAGGAATGGGAGGGGTGAGAGATGGGATTAACAGTAGCAAATATCTGTCTGGGGACGGGGAAACACCTCTTATCAACAGGGTGCCTGAATGAAACATAATTGTATACCTAACCCTTAACTGTACCCCACAAAACCATAATAAAAAATATTAAAAAAAAAAAAAAAGAAATTGCAGAGGATACAAACAAGTGGAGAAATATCCTATGCTCATGGATTGGAAGAATTAATGTTATTAAAATGACCATTCTACCCAAAGTAACCTACAGATTCAATGCAATCTCTATCAAACTACCAACATTGTTTTTCACAGAATTAGAAAAAACAATTTTAAAATTCATATGGAACCAAAAAAAGCCAAAATAGCCAAAGCAAAAACAATAACTCCATTATTAAAAGTTAGGCAAGCATCTATAATACTGAGTGATCTATCACAGAAACAAAGAACTGAGTACTACATGTTCTCACTCATAAGTGGACCTTGAACAATTATCATAATATTATAAGAAAGGAATTGGCAGTAATGGGAAACTGCCAGAGGAGGGGGAGGCACACCTCATCAACAAGGGTACCTGCATAATGAGCATTTGTATACCTAACCCTGAATTGTGCCCCCCATATTTAAAATAAAAAAATTTTATAGTAGGTAAACAATCACAAACAGATATCTCAAAAGAAGATACACCAACAAAAAAAGTTGAACCTAAATACAGATGTATACTGTGTATTCAACTAAAATTTCTATGAAGGTAAGATATGGACTGAGCTTAGTTCTGGATAGATTATCGCCTTTTAACAGCTTATATTTGGTATCCTCTTAGTGATCCAAATTAAAAATAAAATAGACATGATATTGTTTAAAAAATTAAAAAATAAAAAAATTTGAAAAAAAGATATACAAATGGCCAACAAACTATGAAAAAATGCTCATTATCACTCATGATCAGGGAAATACAAATTAAAACCGCAATGAGATACCACCTTACACCAGTTAGGATGGCCATTAAAAATTTTTTATAAAATGGATGGATGTGGAGAAAAAGGAACACTTGTATACTGTTGGTGAGAGTAAATTACTACAACCTCTATTGAAAGCAGTATGGAGATTGCTCAAAGGACTAAGAGTAGATCTACCATTTGATCCAGCAATCCCACCACAAGGTATCCACTCTAAGGAACAGAGGTCGCTATATAAAAAAGACACCTGCACTCGCATGTTCACTGCAGCACAATTCACAATTGTAAAGATGTGGAATCAACCTAAATGCCCATCAACTAATTGGTGGATACATAAAAAAGAATGAAATCATGTCCTTTGCAGCAACATGAATGGAGCAGGAGATCTTCATCCTAAGTGAACTGACTCAGAAACAGGAAACCAAACACCACATGTTCTCACTCATTCGTGGGCACTAAACAGTCAAAAAGATGGAAATGATAGACACTGGAGACACCAATAAGAGGGTAGAGGGGTGGGGGCTAGGAATCAGAAACCACCTATGGGGCACAATGTTCATTATCTGGGGAATGGGCCACCTGAGACCCAATCCCTACCACCTCACAATATGTCCATGTAGCAAACATACATGTGTACCCCCCAATATAAAAATATTGTGACAGACTACACAAGTGTTATATACCGTTGTTGGTATTATTTTTATTATTATATGCTGTTGTTGGTATTATTATTATTATTAAATTTTGAAACTTAAACTTCCATAACAATTGTTTTGCATGAATGTCTAATATAATAAACATTTCAGTATTAAAAAAAGTTTTATCTGTTGAGAAGGTACATGCTCCAGTTCTGTGGCACTTTCTCGATTCCTGTAACCAGCTGAGCTGCCTCGCTCTGCAGGGGCCTTGAACATCTTTTTCTACTCATTTTGATGTTCCCATTCCCATCTCCCTCGAAACTTGGCATAAGCATCATTTCCTCAAAGAAGCATCTCTTGGCCGGGTGCGGTGGCTCACACCTGTAATCCCAGCACTTTGGGAAGTCGGGGAGGGAGGACTGCTTCAGCCCAGAAGTTGGAGACTAGCCTGGGCACATAGCAAGACTCCATTGCTACAAAACATAAGAAAATTAGCTGGGCATGATGGCATGGTCCCAGCTACTCAAGAGGTGGAGGCGGAAGGATCCCCTGAGTCCAGGAGGTTGAGGCTGCGGTAAATTGCGATGGTGCCACTGCACTCCAGCCTGGGTGACAGTGAGACCTGACTCAAAAAAAAAAAAAAAAAAAAAAGCCTCCAGTCTGGGTCAGGCTCCTCATTACATGTTCTCCCAACACTCTTTTCCTTCAGAGAACTTTGTCATTATAAGCTCATTAGACGGAGTATATTATTAACAACGATCTTCCTCACTAACCTGTAACTTCCAAAAGACCAGGGACTAAGTCTGTGTTTGTTTTTATTAACATTCTACCCATGATGTCTAAGTAACTGGCTTACAGTTGAAACTCAATAAATACTGAGGGAGAGAGAGAGAGAACAGAAGGAATAGATATGAATATATTACTTCCAAGAGATTTAGGCAAACGTAAATATTTCTTCTGACTACAGATCTATAATAGATATAATAGGATATTTAAGTTTTCAGTCTTTACAAAAGTAATAATACCATCAAAAGAAATTTTGAAAGTGAAAAATTCATCCTTGTATCAACTACCCTAAGAGAACAGCTATTTTTTTTGCTTTTCTAATCTTTGTCCAAATGCATATTTTTATAAAATATAATTACTCATGATATTAAGAGACTAGAACTGGAAACAAAATTTTATGTGACAGTGTTTTCCTGTAGAAAAAGTTATCATTGATATAAAAACAAACATAAAAATAATTATTATAACTTTCAAGGCTAGTCAATAGGAAATGAAATTGTAAGTGCGTGATTTGAACATACTGTATACTCACATTCTGGAATCTGGGTATAGTATTACACACCTGTTTTTGTAAGTTAGGCGAACAGTTCTTGTACCTTCACATTTTCCAGGCTGCTGTTCTTTGGAAGCCTGTTCCCACTTAGAAATAATGTCACAAATCTAGAAGGGAAGTGGAAAACTGAGATTTACAGGACTTTCCAAATCATTTTTGGAAGACCAGTGTGTCTGTAGATGGAACACTGCAATGAATAGGATCACACCAAATGTACTGGAGCTTTGTGTTTTCAGATTCTGTGCAGCTGAGTTGAGATTTCATTATAAATTGCTCTTTGGTCCACTTATCCTTCTGGACACACATTAACTTTGGACTGTGGCCATGCATGCATTTTTAGTCAAAAAGGAATCTTAATGAAGGAATGCATGAAATTGGAAACAAGAAGATTCCTGAAATTTTTTCCTGATTAGGTCATTGAAGAAGCCACTTTTCCACTTTCGGAGTTTATAAAGATGGGAATAACTGAAGTCATATCAGAGACATCTGAACTATAGTATAAGGAAAGGGTCTACACCCAGTTCTAGTTATTTGGTTTTGGGTAAATAATTTTCCTCTCTAGGCCTGTTTCCTCATTTACAAAATAAGTAAATTGTTTCTCTAAGGTCCCTGGTGGTTCTATAAATCTATATTTCTAATGGTTGCCATCATTAAATGGAAACTTCATGAAACTTATTGAACTATGATCTGGAAAAGATTTTTTTTAAATGCCCCTTTCTTTGTTTCCACAAGTGCCTTTTGTACACATTTTTCCAAGTTCAGTTCAGCCTTCCCTAATTCCCGATGCTGTACTTAATCCCTTCCTCTGTGAAAAGTTCACAGCACTCTCACCACACTTATCATTTTCAACCCTATTTTAAGTTTATCAGTGTGTAAGGTTGTTCTTCCCTATGTAAATCTGAAGTTCACCGCTGGTAGGGACTATTTCTGGTCCTTTTGTATTTCCCATAGGAGTAGTCCAGCCAGCCTTTTAGCTCAGGAAATATTGCTGATTAAGTGGAAAAAAAAAAAAAAAAAGGAAAGCCATTTTATTAGCACTTCTATACCTCTACCCTTATCAAACTAATATTTGTTTATTTTAAAGGTATAATTATTACCATGATTTATTTTTTCCTCTCTTTAACATGGAATACATGTGTGTAGACATTGTATATTGAGAATGCTATGGCTTTAACAAAGTTTTGTGATTTTTTTTTTAAACTTGTGGCGTTTAGACAGCTTAAAGTTTTTGAAAACTTCTGAACTAAACTTCACACAAAGACTAAAGAGTAGCTTCTTTGATGTTTGCTGGGTTTGGCTGCTTTCACCTTGATATTTCCTTGAAGACAATGCTCTAAATCTCTGCCAGAGGGATCGTCAGTGAACAGTGCAAATCCAGACTGTGCTGGCTTCCTCATTCCAGTGTCCTGGTTCAAAGTATTCAAAAATTCTTCCACTGTGGTGGATGCATCAAACCCAACTACCTAGACAGAAATAACAAAGTAGTCCTCTTAATAAGAAATACGTAATTTCAGACTGAGACTTCAAGGGTGAAATGGGGCATAGTTGATGCAAGATTAATAATAACATATATTTCTCTAGGTGCTCTAACATTTTCCCCAAAACTCTACTGGAGAAAATGAACACAGTTAACTCAGTAGTCAGCTTGCTGTAAGAACTCAGAAACCTCAGCTTCAGCCAACAGACATGAATCCAAAATAGAATGATCATTTGAAAGCTATAAACATCTTGCAAAGATATGACACTTACTCATTAGAAGCAAACCAAGAACTATAGAACAATATGCAATTCTTAGGTAAATGAAAGGAAATAAACAAAAATTGCACTTAAATAAATGAACAATTTTATGTATTTAATGTTTCTTTCTTTCTTTTTTTTTGAGTTGGAGTCTCACTCTGTTGCCCAGACTGGAGTGCAGTGGCCGCTCCCGGCCACCGCAGCCTCGACCTGCTGGGCTCCGGCGATCCTTCCGCCTCAGCCTTCCAAGTAGCTGGAATACAGGTGCGCGCTACCACGCCCGGCTGATTTTTTGATTTATTATAGAGATGAGGTTTCGCCAAGTTGCCCAGGTGGGTCTCGAACCCGCGGGCTCAGGCAATCCACTCACCGCAGCCGCCCAAAGACGCGGGATTACAGGCTGAGCCACTGAGCCCGGCTATGTTTCTTTCTTTCTTTCTTTCCTTTTTTTTTCTTTAAGAAAGCAGAATTTATTGAGAGGACAGAAAAACTCTCACAGTGGGAGGGGACCCGAAGGGGTTGCCCAAGTTTGTTCCTTTTTTTTTTTTTTTTTTTGAGTTGGAGTCTCACTCTGTCGCCCAGACTGGAGTGCATGGCCGCTCCCACCTAATTTTTTGATTTATTGTAGAGATGAGGTCTCGCCAAGTTGCCCAGGTGGGTCTCGAACCCGTGGGTTCAGGCAGTCCACTCACCTCAGCCTCCCAAAGGCGCGGGATTACAGGTCTTTAACAGACAGTTAAGTATCTGAATTCTGTGATAAAAGGGTAATGGCTACAAAGACTAGCTTGGGAATATGTTTGCTTCAGTTAGTAAGCGAGCATCTGGATCTGAAAATTGGGAGGACCCGGGACCCAGAGATGTTTCCCCAGACAATTTCTGAGATTTTAAAAGACACTAAAATTGTCACACCCAATGTTAGTAATTATTTCCACACCTAGCAGGTACACTGATGGTGAAAAACCCAAACCAAAGCATTTTTTATTTTCTCCAACAGAATTATAACAGCAGTGAAACCCATCCTTTTTCTAACTTAGTACAGATGTGTTCTTCATATGAATCCTTTCAAGCAAAACTGTTTCAAAACTCAGCTGTTTTTTGGGAGGCGGAGGCGAGAGGATTGCCTGAGCAACCTCGCGAGACTTCATCTCTACGATAAAAATAAAAAATTAGCTGGGCATGGTGGTGTGTGCCTGTGGTTCCGGCTACTTGGGAGGCTGAGGCAAAAGGACTGTCTGAGTCCAGCAGATCGAGGCTGTGGTGGCCGTGATCATGCCACTGCACTCCAGCCTGGGACAGAGTGAGACTCTGACTCAAAAATAAATAAATAAAAACTCAGCTGTGTTGACAGAAGATCTAACATATTTGCATGTTTATCACTGCCAGGGGCTGACGAGGGTACACAGCCAGCCTCACCTGCCCATTCTACAGAGGTTATCCATGGGATTCTCAGCACCGCATGTTTTCATGGGCAAAAACGCTAACCTACCTGATAAATTCCATTCATGAAGTGCACTGGTATACTGAAGGGCAAAGAATGATGATATGGGTTTCGCAGAAGGGTCGAAAGAATTTCCATCCTTGAGGGTCTCACTTCTCGGTCTCCGTTCTGTTGCGTTCTTTCCACACAGCGCTGGCAGTAAATGGCATATTTTCCAAATTCTGTCCTGGAACACAAAACTTAAGATAAAATCTAAAAATAAATTTAATTGACAACCTAATATATGCAAACATTAAGACGGCCTTCCTGGGACATTATTACAATGTATTCTGCTTATTTTGACAGTAACTTCTTTTTGAATGATAATATTAAACTGCTGTTAACTTTTCTCAAATTCCAATTTCTTTATTTTTTGTAACTGACTCACTCAAAGGTCCCCACAAACATTCTTCATCTTTATTATCTTACAGTCACAAACTGAATTTAAAGTGACCAGTCATATAGTCAATATATAGTGATTTAATATTGATAAATTAAAAAAACCCATTGCATGAAGAATTGTATAGGGTAAAATAAAACATAATGCAGCAGAGATTTCTTTTGAAAAACATGAAGGTGAATGCTTGACTGCTAAACATGTCTTCAAACAAAAATAAAAATATAGTCTCCTTCCTTACCCTATAAAACACTGCACTTGTTAAAAAATGATAAGCATTAAACAGACCACTAGAGCAAATAAACGTGAAAATTGGATAGAGATTCCAATCTTGTTCTTGTTTGTTACATGTAAGCTTTGTTCTATGTATGAAGGCATATTGATGACACCTCTAAACATATTTGTATTCGAGTGCCATGTAGGCAGACCCTAAAACGTGACCCTCTGTCTGGGGACGCCTCAGTGACAGCAATTGAAATCACATGACTTAGATCACAGAGGCCCCCAAATGTATTATGAGCTGCTGAGTATTTATCTGCGTCCAAGTAGGTTTTTTGTTTCACTGTTTGTTTGTGTTAGTCCCAGAGTCTATGTAAGCAACCTAACGGAAACAGCTTCGCAGACAAAATGACCCTGGATCCCAGCATAAGAAAGTCCTTCTGCAAGTTGGATTGTAAATGTCTTTTTAAGGGAGTAAGAATTCTGAAGTAATTAAAATACATACAATTATACAAGGAGGAAGATTTCCACATAAAAGAGCTCAATGTGGAGAAAAGCAGTAGAAGAGAAAACTGAGGAAACAAATTAGTTGTTCTTACTAAATGAATGCCACCCACCAATGCTAAGTCATTCATACTTGAAATGCACAGACTTTTCACTTAAAAATATTCTTTGTCAGTTTTTCAAACTTTAACTGTAATCTTCCTTGAGAGATTTAACATAACAAAGGAAATCCTCTCCCAGCGCCACATAAATGACAACCAAAGCCTTCCTGATCAGTACTGTTTTCACACAACTTTCTGAAAATGCACCTGGCAGCGATTAAATACTTGGGGTCTGCTGTAGACTTTCGGAGGCCGCATAAACGGCTCAGCAGGCTGGTTTTCTGCACACCTGGAATCTGCGTTCCTCTTGAGGTGAAGCCTGAGGAGCCACAGGAAAGGATGATGGGGAAGGAAGAGCCCAACGCAGAGTGCCAAGAGCTGCCAGCCCTGGGCAAAGAGAAGCACCATGGGTTAGACACCTGCCAGTCGGAGATGCACGCCAGAATGAGCGTGACCTACAGAGGTTGGGAGAGCAACGGGTTGATCGTCTCCTTTAACCCCAAAATGCATTGCTTCTTCCAAATATCCAAGATCTGTTTAGAGCATTTATAATACAATAACAACAACAACAAAAACCAACCAACCAAACAAACAAAATACTCTGGGCTGGGCACTGTGGTTCATGCCTGTAATCCCAGCATTTTGGGAGGCTGAGGTGGCAGAAATGGTTGAGCCCAGGAGTTCAAGACTAGCCTGGGCAACACAGTGAGACCTCATCTCCACACAAAATAAAAAAATTAGCTGGGCATAATGGTATGTGCCTGTAGTTCCAGCTACTTGGAAGTCTGAGGAAGAAGGATTGCCTGAGCTCAGGAGGTTGAGGTTGCAATGAGCTACGATGGTGCCACTGCACTCCAGGCAGGTTGGGCAATATAGTAAGACCCTAACTCAAAAACAAAACAAAGCATAAATTCTACATTGGGTCAGATCCACAACCCATCTAGTAGCGTAAATGACTGTCTACAACTGAGGTAGCTATGGTGATCCTTTTTGACATCGCGCTCAAAGATTAGGTTCTTTTGTATATTTACTTATTTACTTATATTTATTGAAACATAAATAAAAGTTTTTGGAAAGGCAAGCAGCAAAATAGTAAAAAGTCATATGCCCAAACCAAAACCAACCTGCCTATACATACATACATGTATAAGGGACACATATAAATAAGGGACAAGTATCAACATACTAACAGAGGTTATCTTTAGATAACAGGATTACATGTGATTTTTATTTTTCCTTTGTTCTATTCTGTATTTTCCTTTTTCATTAAGCAAGTATAACTTGTTTTTTCTTTTTTTTTTTTGAGTCAGAGGTTCACTCTGTCACGCAAGCTGCAGCAGTGGCACACTCACAGCCACCGCAGCCTCAAACTGCTGGGCTCAGGTAACCCTTCTGCCTCAGCCTTCCAAATAGTAGGAATGACAGGCATACACCACCATACCCAGATAATTTTAAAAATTTATTTATTGTAGAGACAAGGTCTCACCAAGTTGCCCAGTCTGGTCTCAAACCCCTGGATTCAGGCAACCCTCTTTCCTTGGCCTCCCAAAATGCTAGGGTTATCGGCATGAGCCACCATGCCTGGCCAACTTCAGTCATTTTTTAAATGTTGTATTAAAAAGAGGGGGAAACTGGCACTGCCCCCGCCCTTGAGGAACCTACAGTCTAGCAGGAGACAGTTACATTCTCAAATAGGAAATGGCAATAAAACATAGTAATTCCATTTATGTTTTAAAAGTATAACCCAATGGAAGGACTAACTTCTGGGGGAGACAGGAAAGGATTTCCAGGGAATATGTTGCTTGGGCTGGACCATAAAGTCTGCCTGAGGGAAGGAGGAGGGGGGATCCAGGCAACAGGAGTACTGCCGGGTGCAAGGTGAGGGATATCGCAAAGGCAGGGGTGCCTGACAAATGGGAGCGTCTATTCATTCACTGCATGCTGGAGGCAGGAAGTGGAGAAAGGGGAGGCCGGTGGGCCAGGTTGTGAAGTGCTCTTGATGTGTGTGAAGTCGAAACTTCTGGACCCCTCTTGGGCACAGGTCCCATCCAAGGCCCTGCGCGAAGGGCCCTGTCAGCTGTGTCTACATGGCCCTATGTTTTTCAAAGTGTGCAAAAGTAATATATTGTTACTCTTTTTCTTAAAGAGCATGGTATGAGCTTCAAGTATCACAACACCTGGCTCCAACCCTGAGAGTCCTTTACGCTAGGGTAAGGAATTTCTGATCTATCCTGTGGTTAACACGGTGAATACACAAACATGAAAACAGGCACTCATTAAAGACTACATAAATGACTAAAAAGCACTCTATAATATATTCAGCTGGACTTACTAGTAATTAAGGAAATGTACCCTAAATCAATAGTGAAATATCACTTTTTACCTGGGAATGAATAACTAATTAATTAATTAATTGAGTTGGAGTCTCACTCTGCCGCCCAGGCTGTACTGCAGTGGCACACTCACAGGCACCATAGCCTCAACCTGCTGGACTCAGGGGAACCTTCTGCCTCAGCCTCCCAAGTAGCTGGAACTACAGGCACATGCCACCATACCTGGATAATTTTTTGATTTATTGTAGAGATGAGGTCTGATCAAGTTGCCCAGGTTGGTCTCGAACCCCTGGACTCAGGCAATTCTCTTGCCTCTGCCTCCCAAAGTGCTGGAATTACAGGCATGAGCCACTGTACCAGGCTTTTACCTGGGAAGAATTTACAAGAATTACACTGAATATTGTTGAAGAAATAGGAATATTCTAGAAATGGATTCAAAGGAATTTACTGGAACTGCACACAAGATTTAGGCTCAAAGATGTCTATTGCAGAGGTATTTGTTATAGAAAAAAATGATTGTGAAAACCTAAATGTATATAATTGATGTGGTATACACATTAATGTTTTGAAGAATGTTAAAGGATATAGGGGAAATGGTTATGTTCTATAGCCTAAAAAGGTAATATGTATACTGTAACTCCAGTAAGATGAAAAACTGAGTGTGCACACATACACATATATACATTTATATATAAACATATAAATAAATCAGAAGGGGCTGGGTGTGGTAGCTTAATTTGTAATCTGAGCACTCTAGGAGGCCAAGGAGGGAAGATCTCTCGAGGACAGGAGTTTGGGAACAAGTCTGGGCAATACAGCAAGATTCTGTCTCTACAAAAATAAATTTTTAAATCAGGCTGGGCACGGTGGCTCATGCCTGAAATCCCAGCACTTTGGAAGGTCAAGATGGGCGGACTGCTTGAGTCCAGAAGTCCGAGACCCGTCTAGGAAACAGCGAAACTTCATCTCTACAAAAAAAAAAAAAGTTTGTTTGTTTTTAAATTAGTCAAGCATTGTGGTGAATGCCTGTAGTCCCAGCTACTCAGGATTCTGAGGTGGAAGGATTGCCTGAGCCCAGGAGGTGGAGGCTGCTCTGAGCCATGATCATTGTGACTGTGCCACTACACTCCAGCCTGGGTGACAGAGCAAGACCAAAACGATATGCATCAAAACATTAATGACCATTGTTCCCTTCACACTTTCTGTATTTCCCAAATGTCTATGTGGAATGTGTATCATTCTATGATGAGAAAAACATCACTTTAAATTGCGTGTATTAATATATACCTGCAATGGTCCTGGTTGATTCTGCGGCTGTCTTCGTCTTGTCTGTTTAATAAGCTGACAGCAAATTTCATTCTGTAGCTCAGGATGTGTCAGACAGATTTGCAAAGCACTCTGGGCTAGAGATATGTGGTAATCAATCGCGGGGGAGTCAACTGCAGCATTTATAAAAAGCTGGCAGGTCTGAATTAAACAAAAAAAATGTATTCAAGGTGAGAAATGATTAGATTCATTCTCCATGAATTACACTGATTCTCTTTTCAACAATAGTTTTTGTTTAAAATGATGGGAAAAGATATATTATGATAACACTAATCAAAAGAAATCTGGAGGGGCTACAATAATAGCAGACAAAATACCTTTCAGAGCAACGAATTCTGCTGAAGGTAAAAAGGGTCATTTTATAATATAAAGGGGTTAGTTAGTTCATCTAGAGGACACAGCAATCTTAAACATATATGTACTTAATAACAGAGCTTCAAGGTACAAATTAATCTTATTCAGTATATATTTTTCATTTTAGCCAATGCATTCCTCATTTGTAAAAGTTCAATTTCGGTCTTTTTAATATCTTCTATTACTCTCCTTAAAATGCTCGTACACTCCTCTACCTTCCTGAACAAATGAAGTATGGTAGCTAGTCTCCAAAATGGCCCTTAATGATCTCTACCCCCCTGATCTTCAGACCTTTAGGCAGTCCCCTTCCATATTGTACCAGGGTTGGTCTCTGTGACTAGTAGAATGTGGCATGCCATTTCTGAGATTTGGTTATAAAAAACAATGTGGCTTCCATCCTAGTCTCTCTTCTTCCCTCTTAGGTACTTGCTCTAGGGGAAGGCAGTTGCCATGTCTGGAGCCATCAGTTGGAGAGACCCATTTGTGATGCATGGAGGCTTCTTAACAACAGCCACATCAGAGAGTCTGGAATCCTCCTGCACCAGTCAAACCTTCAGATGACAGCTGCCCCACTAATGGTCACTTCATGAGACCTTGAGCCAGAACCACCCAGCTAAACTGTTTCCAGATTCCTGATCCTCTAAAACTGTGTGAAATACTAAATATTTGTTGTTGTAAGCCACTCAGTGTTGGAAAAATGTTAAGAAATAATAGACAATACACAGAAATGTCCATGTCTACCATCATTTCTATTATTTCTAAGGATTTTTCTATGATGGCATTTTCTCATCATCTGTGTCATACTTAACTCGATTCTCTGTATAACTGGTGATGGTTGACTGGATGCAGATGTTGTGAACTTTCTTTTTTTTTTTTTTAGATTACAAAATATAGTTTATTTAAAAGTAAATGAGAGAGAGAGAGAGAGAAGATTCACCTCCACAAGGTAGGGGAGGGGAACATTGTGAACTTTCTATTGCTGGGTGTTAAGTTCTTTTGTATTTTTAAAAATATTTTTGAACTTCATTCTGAGACATAGTTAAATTACTTGTTAACAGTTTGCTTCTTTCAAGTTCTCTTAGGGTGGACCAGAAGAGCCTTTAGGGTAGGACTATCTGGGGTCCATTACTGAGGCAATAACTTTCTGAGTACTCGATGTCATGGCCAATGTGGCAGGAGATCTTTCCATTCTAGATGATGGGGAAATGAACTATTTCCAGCTGTGTGAACTCCAGGAATTTCTTTGCCTATTCCTTTCCGGTAGTTCTTTCCCCAGTCTCAGGTAGTTCATTCTCTCTCTCTCTCCCTCTCTCCTCCTCTCTCTCACATGGACCAGTTCTTAGATAAACACTGGAGGCAAACACTCTGCAGGTCTTTGGAGCTCTCTTTCTCCCTCTCTGATTGAATAAATATCAGAAATATTTTCTCTCTCTCCTCAGCCCTGTGAATTCTAACTGCCTTGGACTTCTCAAATTCTGAACTTTGTCTCGGCAACTCAGGAAGACTGCAGGCTCTATTTGGGGCTCCCTCCCTGCACTGCAGTCTTGAAACTCTCTCTAGACATTAAGTTGCAGCAATCCCAGGGCTTACTTCCTCTGTTTTCCCAAAACTCTGTCCTGCACTGCCTATGTTCAATGGCTGGAAACCACTGGCATTACGGGTAAATCCAGTCCCCACTGCTCCATCGAGTTCAAAAGAAGAAATTCTTCCTTCTATCTTCTACTGGTTGTTTGTACATATACAAACTTTCTGTTTCTGCTTGTTTATTTTATATCTCTCTTATACAGTTTTATTTTTGTTTGTAATGGTTTTTTAATTTGTTTGCTTGGGTTTTTTAGGTATACAGTCACAACATCTGTAAATATTTTCATTTATTGTCTAATTATACAGGTTAGTTCTCTAATAAAATGTTAAATAATAATGATAAACTTTACATAATTTATACTTTAATTAAAAAGTTTTAAAAATTATACTGGGGAACATTCTTGTCTTATTCCTCACCTTACTGGAAACATTTCTAACATTTCTCCATAAAGCATATGTGCTTTAAGCTAAGACAAAAAAATTGTGTCATGTTAAGGAAGTATCTACCCATTGCTATTTTATGAATGCTGAATTTGTTAAATACCTTTCAACATCTATAAAGAAGATTATCTAACTAATAATAAGCAATATTAATAGCTATTATAATATTTGACCATTCTTGATTTTCTAGAATAAATTCCTTAGTCATGATTTATTTTTCCATTTAAAAAATTATATTGATACATAATAGTTGTATATATTTGTGAAGCAAATGACTTTTTTGATACAAGTAAACAACACAAAATGATCAAATTAATCAGGATACTCATCACCTCAAACATTTATCATTTCTTTGTGTTGGAAACATCAACATCTTTTCTTCTAGCTATCTTGAAATAAACCATAAAGTTTTGTCAACCATAGTTGGCCTAACGTGCTGTTGAACACTAGAACTTATTCCTTCTCTCTACCTATATTTTGTACCTACTAACTAATCTCTCTTCAACTCCCTTCTCCTTCCCCTTCCCAGTCTCTAGTAACCCACATTTTATTCTCTGACTCCACGGGATTCACTTTTGTCTTTTTGTACCTGGCTTATATCATTTAACATATGTCCTCCTGTTCCGTCCAAGTTACTTAAAATGACAGGATTTCATTTTCCCTAGTGGCTGAATAATATTCCATTTTGTGTGTGTGTGTGTGTGTGTGTCACAATTTCTTTATTCATTTATCCATTGATGGACACACGTTGATTCCATATCTTGGCTATTGTGAATAGTGTAGCAATAAACATGCGGGTGTGGATATCTCTCTGATATATGGTTTCTTTCCTTTTGGATATACACCCAGCAGTGGGATGGCTGGATCACACAGGAGTCGGCCGGGGAACCTCCACACTGTTTTCCAAAGTTGTTTTACTGATTTGCATTCCCACCAACAGTGTATGAGTGTTCCCTTTTCTCGGCACCTTTACCAGCATGTTATTTTCCGTCTTTTTCATAAAAGCCATTCTAACAGGTGTGAAGTAATCTCTCATTGTGCTTTTTATTTGCATTTCCCTGATGATTAGTGATGCTGAGCATTTTTTCATAAAACTGATGACCATTTGTATGCCTTCTTTTGAGAAATGTCTATTGACATCTTTTGCCCATTTTTTAATCAGATGTGTTTTTTGTTTGCTATTGAGTTGCTTGCATGAGTTAATGTTCTTTTGAGACTAGATTTTGATTGCTAATATTTTATTATTTTTTCATAAGATGTCCTCTATTTTGTACAGTCTTTGCTGGGGTTTGGTATCACAGTAATACATATCTCACAAAGAATACGGTGATCAATGAGTGAGGACTAGTTTCTAAATAGTGCCAAGTCTGGAAATGGGAAAATAAAACAAAATTGGCCATGTGTTGACAACTGTGGCCTGAGTGATGGGTACCTTGGACCTCATTATCATATTCTTTCTAGTCTTACATGTGTTGGAAATTTTCCAAAAGAAGAAAAAAAATTTTGGAAAATGTCTTTCTTTGTCTATGATTTGGGACCATTGAAATGATCTACATATAAACTTTGGTTAATTCTCTTATTTAGATTTTTATTTTCATGTGATATCAATTTTTGTCATTTTTTAAAATAAAATTGATCACCACATCCAGATTTTCAAATATATTTGCATAGTCTTTCTTGTTTTATGTAGTCTGTAGGTAGATTTTTTTTTTTTTTTTTCTTTTGAATCCGAGTATCACTCTGTTGTCCAGGCTGGAGTGCAGTAACACAATCATGCTACTGTAGCCTCGACCTGCTGGGCTAAGATGATCCTTCTGCCTCAGGCTTCCAAGTCACTGGGACCATAGGCGTGTACCAGCATGCCCAGTTAATTTTTTAATTAATTGTAGAGATTAGGTCTTGGTCTTGCCATGTTGCCCAGGCTGCTTTCAAACTTCTGGGCTCAGCCAATCCTCTTGCCTCTGCCTCCCAAAGTGCTGGGATTACAGACGTGAGCCCTGCATCTGGCCTTACAGGTAGGTTTTTTAAAAAAAATTTCATTATAGGAATTTTAAAAATGAACAAAAGTAGAGAGACCAGTATAATGATCACCCATCTATCCATTACCCAGTGTCAATAATTCTCAGCACTTTGCCAAAATTGTTTCATTTACCACCTCCTCACCTCCACTTTTTTGGGAGCATTTTAACATGTATCATGTTACTTTAGGAATACATACTTCAGGCTGGATATCCAATTATTAAATACTTTTTTCCATACCCATCATGCCATCATCAGAACCCATAAATTTTTTTTGTTGTTGTTTTGTTTTGGAGTCTCACTCTGTCACCCAGACTGGAGTGCAGTGGCTGCTCCCGGCCACCACAGCCTCTACCTGCTGGGCTCCGGCGATCCTTCCGCCTCAGCCTTCCAAGTAGCCGGAATTACAGGCGCGCGCTACCACGCCCGGCTGATTTTTTGATTTATTGTAGAGATGAGGTCTCGCTGCCCAGGCGGGTCTCGAACCTGCGGGCCCAGGCAATCCACTCACCTCAGCCTCCCAAAGGCGCGGGATTACAGGCTGAGCCACCGACAATAATTTCATAATATTATCCCATAAACAAAAGAATTTTTTTTTTGAGATGGGAGGAATGTAGGCAAGAAGAAGCCTAAAGAAAGGAAGGGATTGGTGCTCAAAGAAACAAGGGAAAAATAAAGTACCAAGATCCTGGTGTGGAAACAAGACTTGAAGCCATAGAAAGTTCATGTCCTGAGACTGGAGGAGTGGAAGAGAAAACAGATGGAAGACTGTGTGTTGAGGAAAGGGATACAAAGTTGACGTGTCTGACGTCTTCTAACTTTCTCATTGAAATAGAAAGTAAGTTTCTCAATTGTATTACTAAGTAGGAAGTTTGAAGGGGGTGTGACTAATGACAAACAAAAAGACAGACAGTTAGCCATGAGGGAATGAAAACCACGGATTTATACTGGCTCCAGGCTACATGGTGGTTTGAAGTTCTCCAACAGTGCCCATCTGGTTATCCTGGGAATGGACAACATGGCATTGATCTAGCTTGGGATCTGGCTGAAAAGTGCAGAGAAGTATGGGCTCCAAGGAACTATGAGTGGAATAAGAGTAAACCGGTCTGGATAATGAAGGAAGAGCCAAGAGGCAGTTATCATGATCTCAAAGAAAACACATGGCTCAGAACAAAAGTCTTAGAGATAACAAAAAGATAGAAGAGTTAAAAAAAATAAGGCAGGGCACGGTGGCTCAAGCCTGTAATCCCAGCACTTTGGGAGGCCGAGGCAAGAGGATTGCCTGAGCCCAGGGGTTTGAGACCAGTCTGGGCAACTTGGTGAGAGCTCGTTTCTACAATAAATCCAAAAATTAGCTGGGCGTGGTAGTGCATGCCTGTAGTTCCAGCTATTTGGAAGGCTGAGGCGGAAGGATCTCCTGAGCCCAGTAGGTCATTGCTGGGGTAGCTGTGAGCGAGCCACTGCACTCCAGCCTGGGCGACAGAGTGAGGCTCTGACTCAAATAAATAAATAAATAACCAAATAAATAAATAAATAAAAGAGAGGTGGAGGTAAGAGGATTGTCTGAGCCCAGGAGTTGGAGACCAGCCCAGGCAACTTGGGGAGACCTCATTTCTACAATAAATAAAAAAATTAGCTGGGTGTGGTGGCATGCACTTGTGATTCCAGCTACTTGGAAAGCTGAGGCAGAAGGATCACATGAGCACAGCAGGTACAGGCTGTGGTAGCCATAATTGTGCCACTGCACTCCAGCCTGTATGACAGAGTAAGACTCTGACTCAAAAAGAAAAAGAAAAAGAAAGGAGCTTGTGGACTAGGATGATGGTTAAAGAAAGAGATATAAGAATGTAAGCTTTTAGTGGGAGCATACTTATACAGAATGGCAAAGTCAGGTGTGGACATGAAAAACGAAGAGGTGAAGTAGACTAAAGGTGAAGCTACTGGAATTAAGAAGGTCAAAACTCTTAAAACCATGGCATTGCTGAGTGAAGTGATCATATCGCCATTTGCAAGATTTAGCATAGAGAGAAAGAAAATGAGATGGGAGCCAAAATCCTTCATGACATTTGAGGAGTTACCAGAAGGCAACCGATGACAGAACTGGGAGGATAAAGAGTGACAGAGGGCGGGCTCGGTGGCTCAGCCTGTAATCCCGCGCTTTGGGAGGCCAAGGTGAGTGAATGGCCTGAGCCTGCGGGTTCGAGACCCACCTGGTCAACTTGGTGAAACCTCATCTCTACAATAAATCAAAAAATCAGCCGGGCATGGTAGCGCGTGCCTGTAATTCCGGCTACTCGGAAGACTGAGGCAGAAGGATCGCCGGAGCCCAGCAGGTCGAGGCTGCAGTGGCCGGGAGTGGCCACTGCACTCCAGTCTGGGCGACAGAGTGAGACTCCAACTCAAAAAAAAAAAAGAGTGACAGAGGTGAATGACAAGTTTCAAGTGGTCAGAGATTTCTGATAGAGGTTGAGGAACAAGAAATTTGAGAGTTGCTTTGGAAAGTATAGAGAGTACTGACCCCTCTCCCAACACTGAGTCTGAGGTGATGTGAAAATCTTTCCCTTTGAGAAGGTAAAGGGGAAATGATTATTCTGTTTCATATTGCCCAAACCATACATAGTTTATTTCTGTAAATCCCAAATCTTCACTCTGAAAGCATCTTAAATTTACCTGACTTTATTCTATAGATTCTCTTTCTTCCTTTCTTTTTCTTTTTCTTTTTCTTTTTTTTTTTTGACTTGGAGTCTTACTTTGTTACCCAGGCTGGGGTGCAGTGGCATGCTCATGGCCACTGTAGCCCTAACCTGCTGGGCTCAGGCGATCCTTCCGCTTCAGCCTTCCAAGTAGCTGGAATCATAGGCGTGTGCCACCACACCCTGTTAATTTTTTGATTTATTGTAGAGACAAAGTCTCAGTAAGTTGCCCAGGCTGCTCTCGAATCCCTGGGCTCAGCAATCCTCTTGTCTCCATCTTCCAAAGTGCTGGGATTATAGGCGTGAGCCACCGTGCCTGGCTGGATTTTCTTAATATTTTTCATTTTCTTGGGGAGAGTAAAACTTTGTAACCCAAATTATTTTTTCCTATTAAATTACAGTGTTTAACAACATATAATTATGTTACCTTAAACAATTTAATGGCTTCCGTCTGTAGAGCTTCCGATGGCAGTGTTGTCAGAGGAGAAATGATTCCTTCTTTGCTGTGACACAAAGTGGGGTGTCTCCATATCTGAGAGGCTAAATACAGAATAAAATATTAGCAGAAAACTGAACAATCCACTTATTTTGGCCTCCCATTAAATTAGCCCTATGGAGCTTAGCTTATTCAGGCCTGGTTCACAACTGAAGTCACAAAGGTCAGGAAAAACCTTCAACGACATTATTTTATTTTGGTTTTGGGGCTATTGGGATTCTTATGTTCCTGTTTTGGAATCTAGAAGAGCCGAGTACTAACTTACTAGGCTGCAACAAGTCCATCAGGACACTATCATATTGCTTAAATGTGCTCAAGACAGCTGACCTAGGGAGAGAGATGTCACTACAGGAGGAGCTGAGGAAAGATCTAGAGAGGAAAAGTCAAAGTAGGAAGAGATACAAAGACAAGGAGGAACCAGAAGTCATTTCCAAAATCAAAATCTATTATATTCCTGTGAATACGGCAAATAAAATGTGGTTCCTGTTAGTATGTAAAAAAAGCATAGGAAGAAGATAAATTCTCAATGAGGAAACCTTAGCGATAACAAATTGATTTCAAGCTGGGAGCCGTGTCTCATGCCTGTACTCCCAGCACTTTGGGAGGCGGAGGCGAGAAGACTGCCTGAGCCCAGGGGTTCAAGCCCAGCCTGGGCAATTTGGCAAGACCTCATCTCTACAATAAATCAAAAAATTAGCCAGGTATGGTGATGCATGCCTGTAGCTCAGCTACTTGGAAGGCTGAGGCAGAAGGATCACCTGAACCCAGCAGGTCAAAGCTATGGTGGCCGTGAGTATGCCCCATACTCCAGCCTGGGTGACAGAGTAAGACTTCGTTTCAAAAAAATCCAAAAAAAATTCAAATGCTATAAAAGAGATAAGTGGCAAATGCATTGGGATGTCACTGTAACATTGATGAAGCACCTTGTATGAGTCAAATGCTCAGCTGGAGGGGGCTGGCTGGGGGATCTCCCAAGGCTAAGGTAGGGTGGCATCCTATTGGTGAGGACTGCCAAGGAAGGGGGCATTCCAAGCAGAGGAGCAATGAGAACCAAGGCAGAGGGATGTGACAGGACATGCTTAGTGGGGAATGATGATGTCCCTGGAGCTGAAGAGCCACCGTGAGAAGCAGTGGAAATGAAAGGTAGAGACACTGTGGGGAAACAGGAACCCACAAAGTGAAAATCCCATCAGGCTAAGGGGGCTGGGGCTCATGTCATAAACCATAAAGCCTTCTGTATGTATGAACTTACAAGGTTCCCCTTCTATGTTTAGCAATTTGCAAACGAGTTGCTCAAATTCAGATCCAACATTGACATTGTTGCTTCCAGCTGCAACAGTCAGATGATAAAGCCAAGTGTCCTTAAAATCAGAACATATTCATCGAAACGTTAGCCAAGATAGAGTTGTGATTATGTAAAGAAACAAACAACCTGCATAAACAGTTGAAAACTATGAGCTGGAAAAGAAACCACTTTTAAAAAATACTTAAACGATAACTAAAAGCCATTGAGTCAAACAGTTCTGGGGTAGGTACACTTGAATTGTGCTCACATTACCTATCCCATTATTCACATCTTTATTATTTTTCACCGATGCTCCTTAGAAAAGCATGACAAAATTAAGGAGAGAAACACTTGTTAAGAGACTAGAATCAATATAACCAGTGAATATTCTCTTAAGAAATACAATCAATTCTATCAAATTTAAAATCTGACACTCAGAGTAATACATACAAAATACTTTTGAATTCAGAAAATTTGAAGGAAATAATACTCATTTTCCCCTCTCTCCAAGGATAACGACTGGTCTCTTTATTTCCCCTAGGAAAATATATATGTAGATTAGATGTTTACATGGTTGAGTTATACTAAAAATAGAGGACTATGGTTCCTGAATTTTACTAATATAGCATGAGCACTCCCTTCTTGCTAGAAATTCTTTATAAACAAGTTTTAATGGCTACAGGATATTTTATTTCACATATGAATATACAATATTTATTTAACCCATTTCTTATTACTGAACATTGAGATGGTTACTAATCTCTTAATGATAAAAGATATCACCTGTTAACTAAACAAGTTATGCTATATTTTGTTTGAAATATTTCAAAAATAGAACTATTTTTTAAAAGACTATTATACCCAAGAAGACTATCCATAAATCTTTGGCTTCATTTATGATCATGCCCTTACTATACATTCATTGAAATAGAATTATGATTCTACGATTCTAGTGATACAAGAATACATTGCTAGGGTTACCTGGGCATGAAGGTAACCCTTGCAACATACTTCCAAAGTACTTTCCAGAGTCTTTACTCCCACCTTGGTGTATGAGAGTGCTGCCTTCCTCACAGTTTCACTAACAATTTTTTAGTATTTGGTCATTTGAGAGACAATAAAAGTGTTACCTTTTTAAAATTTGCATTTATACACCTTTAAAATTTAAAAAATGCATTTCTTTGATTAACAGATGAATCTAGGCATTAACTGTGAATCTCCTCAGCAAGTTGCTCAACGTGTCCTCTTCCCTTTTTTCTATTGGAAACATAGCACTTTACAAACTCAACAGGAGATAGTAGAGGCGAGTATCCAGGAACAGGCTCTGTAGCTTAGACAGGGGTCTAAGTACCAGCTCTGCCTTTTGCCAGATGTGTGACGACAAGAAGTGCTTCAGTTTTTCCATCTATAGATGGGACTAAGATCACGTTCCACATGTAGTGATTGTACGAATGAAGAAATACACTTGGCACTTGGTCTGACACATGTGTCCCAAAACACAGATCAGTAGTAACAGTGATAATCTACAAGTTTTATACCTCAGAGATACAGTAGCCATTCAAGAGATATGGTGGTTTTGTCCAATCTTTTTAGTTATATTTATGATTTTTTATATAAAGAAGTATTTTGATTTTTTATTTTATTTATTTATTTATAGTTGGAGTCTCACTCTGTCACCTAGGCTGGAGTGTAGTGGCATGCTCATGGCCACTGCAGCCTTGACCTACTGGGCTCCAGTGATCCTTCTGCCTCAGCCTTCCAAGTAGCTGGAACTACAGGCACGTGCCACCATACCTGGCTACTTTTTTGATTTATTGTAGAGATGAGGTCTCGCCAAGCCATGGGCTCAGGCAATCCTCTCACCTCGGCCTCCTAAACTGCTGGGATTATAGGTATGAGCCACTGCACTTTGCAAAAGTATTTCAATTTTTTATAGTCAAATGTATCATAACTTTTACTATGATTTCTTAGATTGCCTATTTTTTAAGAAAATACATTATTCATAGATTAGATAAAGACCTTTTTAAAAGCATTTCTACTGAATTATTTTCACTGTTTAGATTCATCTGGAAATTCTTTTACTGTATATATGAGATGAAAAACTAAACTAAGTTTTTCCTAAATAGTCAATGTCCTCAATATATAATAAATACACAGTACTATATACTAAATAATATATTACTTCCCCATTAGTCTGTGATACCTTCATCACAAATGACTACATATATGTGTAATACATAAAACAACTCATTTTCCATTGTATCTAAGCCAACATTTCTTTAAAAATGATTCAAAACTATAACATGCAGGCCTTAGATTCACCAAAACAATCCAATCTGAGAATCTACATTTTTAATATAAGGTCCTTTTGTTCTCCACCTTCGTGCACTAATTTCAGCCTTCATACCGCCTTTATCAACAGGATTGAAAAATGACACGTTTGAACAAAGCTTGTTTCCAGGGAGGTAAAGAATCTCTGAAGATAGAGCTGAAAGTCTATCACAAAATTTTCTTCTTCATCTCCATAAAATTGATTTGAAAAATATTACCAATACCTGATAACATTGGTCTAAATCATTCTAAATCAACCAAGTTTTCAATTACCTTTTCATGCTTGGATCCAATGAGGAGGTAAGTCGGGCCTTGGTCTTTGGGATGGATAACGATGGTGTAATGTGTTGATAACAGACTCCGTCCACTGGCTTCATAGTCTTCATCTGAATCACAAGATCTGTCAACCTCTTCAACTTTGGCCTCCCAGAGTTTGATCTGACCTAAAGGAAACTAAAGTAAACGTTAGTAATGATGAGGAAGGCTCTTTCTAAATCTTTTCCTCCTAAAATCTGTCATAGTTCTTTTCATTTTTACCTTTATAAAGCACACCTTTTTAAAAAATGGATATTGGCTGGGCATGGGGTCTCACGCCTGTAATCCCAGCACTTTGGGAGGCCAAGGTGAGAGGACTGCTTGAGCCCAAGGGTTCGAGACCAGCCTGGGCAACTTGACGAGACCTCATCTTTACAGTAAATCAAGAAAAATTAGCTGGATGTGGTGGTGTGTGCCTGTAACTCCAGTTACTTGGAAGGCTGAGGCAGAAGGATTTCCTGAGCCCAGCAGGTGGAGGCCGCGGTGGCCGTGATCATGCCGCTGCACTCCAACCTGGGCATCAGAGTGAGATTCCAACTCAAATAAATAAATAAATAAATAAATAAATAAATAAATATTTAAGAATGGATACTTAGAGGCAATTTGACTATCCATATTGTTACAAAAGTAGTAGCAACAACCCAAAAGTCCAATTGTTACATGAAAAAACAATATGAATCCCAGACATTTAACTTTCAAGGAAAAAGCAAAAAGCTACCTCTGTATAGTGGTTCAGACTCTTCAGCTGGACTAAAATGGTCCACTGTCTAGTTAAGTAACTAGTAATCATTCAGTCAAAATATTCATTTGACTTTTTTCCCCATAGAATGGATCAGCGATCTGATGAAGTTATTGGATTAAGGACAAATACACAGTCTCAACACTGTCCTAGAAACAAAAAAACACTGTTCCTAAAAAAAATGACAAGATTAGACAGTTGGTGCAAAGATGAACTATCATCTCAAACTCTAATAAATGAGGCTTGTTCTGAGGCTAAATATATGCAGTGTGTCACAAAACAATGCCATGATTTCCTCCATCTTAATTTAAGGACAAGCTGATTTACATTAAGTTTTATCTCCCGTTTAATGAAATATATATTTTAACCTTCTGTTTTAATTTATACATTTATTCCAAGAAAATACACATTCTGTATCAGATCTACCATTTCTAAAATATTAGGCCAGGTTTACAGTTGCAATTCTAAAAACGTTCATTCTAGCTACACGTTTTCTTTTTTTTTAAATTATATATTTTTTTATTTTAAAATTGTGGGGTACAGTTAAGAGTTAGGTATACAAATATGCATTGTGCAGGTACCCTTGTTAATGAGGCGTGCCCCCCCTTCCCCAGACAGATATTGACTACCGTTAATCCCACCTCCCTGCCCCTCCCTGCCCCCTCCATAGTCTCCTGCCACTGTTCATCCTTTTCTTATAGTATTATGGAGTTTTTCAAGGTCCACTTGTGAGTGAGAACATGTGAATACTCAGCTCTTTGTTTCTGTGAGAGATCACTCAGTATTATAAACTCCAATTCCATCCAGGTTGCTGCAAAATTCATGATTTTGTTCTTTTTCATGGCTGTGTAATATTCCATTGTGTATATATACCACATTTTTATATCCAGTCCTCTTTTGATGGACAGCATGGTTGGTTCCATGATCTTGCTATTGTGAACAATGCTGAGATAAACATATCGCAAGTATCTTTTTTATAGAGTGATTTGAGTTCTTCAGGGTATATTCCCAGTAGGGGAATTAAAAATATGGAATGCTTCACGAATTTGCATGTCATCCTTGTGCAGGGGCCATGCTAATCTTCTCTGTATTGTTCCAATTTTTTTAGTATATGTGCTGCCGAAGCGAGCACTCACTACACGTTTTCATGCTAAGAATCAGGGCCCATTGCTTGGACTCATCTTCCATCTACACTCATTCCCTGGAGCATCTCATTCAAGCTCACTAGAATAGACTAGCTGCACCCAAATCTACAATTCCGGATTCACTATCTCTATTAGATGTTTGATAGCTTCTCAGTTCCCTTGCTAAATCCTACCTGATTACATGCTTTCTTTCAAGCAGTTTAGGCCAAAATCCTGGTGTCATCACTGATGCTTTTCTTTCACTCATATTTCATTCTTTTTTGGTCAACAAATCCTGTCTGCAAGTCTTTCAGAATCTGTCCAGAATCTGGCTGCCTCTCACTCTTCCATGGCACCACTAAACCACAATCACCTTCGCCTGGACTATTGGTGCAGCTTCCTACCTTGTCTCCTTATTCCCTTAAGTCTAGTCTTTTTCTCCCTTCCTTCCTTCCTTCCTTCCTTCCTTCCTTCCTTCCTTCCTTCCTTCCTTCCTTCCTTCCTTCCTTCCTTCAGTCAGAGTCTCACTCTGTCGCCCAGGCTGAAGGGCAGTGGACACACTCACGGCCACTGTAGCCTCAACCTGCTGGACTCAGGTGATCCACCTCAGTCTTCCAAGTAGCTGGGACTACAGGAGCGTGCCACCACGCCTGGCTAATTTTTTCGTTTATTGTAGGGATAAGGTCTCACCAAGTTGCCCAGGCTGGTCTTGAATCCCTGGGCTCAGGCAGTCCTCTTGCCTCTGCCTTTCAAAGTGCTGGGATAACAGGCGTGAGCCACCGCATGAGCCACCGCACCTGGCCTTCCTTCAGTGTATTCTTATTAAGTAGCTGAAGTTTTCCTTCAGACACAGAGAAGATCAAGTCCTTCCCTGCTCAAAATCCTCCAATGGCTGGTCATCTCACTCAGAGTAAAAGCTGAAGAGTGGCAGAATTTGCCACCCCAAAAGATACCATTTGGGCATAAGGGTTATTTTGAAAAAAACGTTTTAAAAAAAATGTAGATGCAAGAAGTGCACCATGACTCTTCTCTTTTTCTTCCCAAAGGCAAGAGACAAAATCCCCATATGGAAGATGTCCTTCCAGTACCAGAAAATGACATTCCTACCATGGAGGATGGGAAGTTGGGGCCAAGGAAATTTACTCACACAAACCTTGTTAAACTTACCCTTATCTTTCTAGCCATTTCTCCACCCAGATAGTAGCCGTAGCCTAAGTCCCTTTGACTTGTCACATTTTCACAATTTACTGCTCTCTGTCCAATTCAGTAGACAAGTGTTCAACCCTACTTATGCCTTTAGATCTTTACTGCCTTATGAGGCCTCCTGTGTTGTATAAAACTTATATTAAATAAATTTATATGCTTTCTCCTGTAAACTTTCTTATGTCCACTTAGATTGGTGGCCCGCTGAAAACCCTAAGAAGGTGGAGGTGTTGCCTCCTCTACAAAGCAAGTTTTTAAAAATGGGATGAAGAAAACAAATTCAATTATGATAATAAATGACAATATTATCCTAATTGTGTACTTTAGTCACACCAATCACATGAAAGTCTAGGTTCCATCCTCCACAATATCCAAAGATAGTTACTCATTTTACCAAAGGATTCCCCATAAATAGTGAATAGACCTAGTGCTATCATATATTGTGATTTAACCAAAAAGACGGTGATGCAAATTTAAAATAAATTGTTTTCAAAATATTTATAGCACAAAATGAAGTAGGCCAATACTGATTCACATGTATTCTTAATACTTTTCCAGGAATTATAATGAAAATGTACTCATTTGTCTACATTCTTCTGACTTGTTTCTTTGGTGAACAACGCTACCCATTTTTATTAAATTATTTTTCTGAGCCTGTAATCCCAGCACTCTGGGAGATGGAGGCGAGACGGTTGCCTGAGCTCAGGGGTTCGAGACCAGCCTGAGCAACATGGCGAGACCTCGTCTCTACAGAAAATCAAAAAATTAACCAGGCATGGTGGCACATGCCTGTGGTTCTAGCTACCTGGAAGGATCACCTGAACCCAGCAGGTAGAGGCTGTGGTGATAACGAGCGTGCCACTGCACTCCAGCCTGGGCGACAGAGTGAGACTCCAACTAAAAAAAAAAATTAAAATTCTGTTTATAAAAAACAAACAAACCCATGGTTGGCCACATTGGCTCATGCCTATAATCCCAGCACTTTGGGAAGCTGAAGCAGAAGGATCGCTTGAACCTAGGGGTTTGAAGCCGCCCTAAGCAATGATTGCATCACTCACTCCAGTCTTGGTGACAGAACTAGACACTGTCTCTAGAACAAAAATTTTTTAAATAATTTTTTTAAAAACCCCACATGCTTATTATAGAAATTTGTTAAGTATGAAAATATATTTTTTAAATCAGCTATAATACTATGATTACAGATAATCAATCTGGTATAGTTCTTTTATTTATTTATTCATTTATTTTTGAATCAGAGACTCACTCTTTTACCCAGGCTGAAGTTCAGTGATCATGATCATGGTTCACCACAACCTCAAACTCCCAGGTTCAAGTCATCCTCTTGCCTCAGCTTCCTGAGTAGCTGGGACTATGGGTGCATGCCACCATATCTGGTTATTTTTTTTTCTTTTGTAGAGATGAGGTCTCGTTATGTTGCCCACGCTGATCTCAAACTCCTGGGTTCAAGAAGTCTCCTGCCTTGGCCTCCCAAAGTGCTAGAATTACAGGCGTGAGCCACCATGCCTGGCCAGATTCCATTAAATTAATCCTATATTAAGCTTTTTATATTTGGAATAAGTAAAGTGACCTTTGTTTCCCTGACTGATAAATTAGTTAGGATTATACTGAGTATACAATTTTGTGTTGTGCTTTTTCAGGCAGCATTTATATGTGAGCATTTTCCCACATTGCTTCAGAGGTATCATTTTTAACAGGTGCTAACCCATTAAATTCTGTGTTAACCCCCATCCCATCAGTGATAGTGAGAATAATGGCATGCATTTTTTTTTTTTTTTTTTTTTTTTGAGTGAGAGTCTCACTCCATCACCCAGGCTGGAATGCAGCAGTACGCTCACGGCCACCCCAGCGTCAACCTGCTGGGCTCAGGCGATCCTTCCGCCTCAGCCTTCAAAGTAGCTGGAACTACAGGCGTGTGCTCCCACGTCCAGCTAATTTTTTATTTATTATAGATATGAAGTCTCGCCAAGTTGCCCAGGCTGGTCTCGAACCCCCGGGCACAGGCAATCCTCTTGCCTCAACCTCCCAAAGTGCTGAGAGTACAGGCTTGAACCACTGTGCCTGGCCTTTTTGTTTTTTTGAATGGCATGCATTTCAAATGCAGCTGGTGAGACCTGAGAATGCAGTCTGTGAAAGGGAACCGAGAAATATTAACTGACTCCACATGGTCACTAGACCCAGAAGTTTAGTCTTATGAACACAGTGAGTCACAGGCTGCTCTTCTGAGGAGCTGACATCACTATATTAAGCAAGTACCCTTGGTCCTTGTTGGCTCAACCTCTATAGTTTCAGAATTCCAAAGATGCCATAGAGTACCCAGAATGATGACTGGGCGCATATTTCACCTTTGGAAGATATCCCATCTTTTTACCCTGAAAGTGAAAATAACTTAAGTTCTTTTGGGAGAGAGATTAGTTTAAAAATGAAAAACATAGGGGCCGGGCTTGGTGGCTCAGCCTGCAATGCCAGCATATTGGGAGGCCGAGGTGAGTGGATTGCCTGAGCCCACGGTTCAAGACCAGCCCAGGCAACTTGGCAAGACCTCGTCTCTACAACAAATCAAAAATTAGCCAGGCATGTTAGCATGTGCCTATAGTTCTGGCTACTTGGAAGGCTGAGGTGGAAGGATTGCCAGAGCTCAGCAGGTCCAACACTGGGGTTACCGTGATTGTGCCGCTACACTCTAGCCTGAGTGACAGAGTGATTCTCCAACTCAAAAAAAAAGAAAGCAAGAAAAACATAGAGTATAACAGGCAGATGGATGGACAGATAAGTGGTATCCAGTAATCCGAGGGCCTGGGACAGGAATGGGTTCTTTTTCCTTTCCAGGTCTTCTTTCCTAGTTTGCTGTTCCCTTCTCTCAACCTTACCTGGTATGTCAGAACCTAGGAAAATATCAGAAATTGACAGATGGGGGTGGGGGAATGTGGTAGAAGGCTTTTCTGTTCTAGGTCTTAGGAGAATCAAGACCGTTGTAGGTAATAGACATGTGATTACCTCAATAATAAATTTTACACCAAATTTCGACCTTATCAGAAATTCTAAAGTTTACTTCGTAACAGAAGACTGAAAAGGAAAACGTTAAGCCATGACAAAAAATTACTCCAATTAGCATACTAAAATGCATACATACCTTATCTTCTTGACTACGAAAATAATATAATGTCTTTCCTATAAGTGTACACCAGACTCTCTTGGAATAGCCATGTTTTACCTGAAATCACATTTCAATGAATTACAATGTAGCTCAGAACTCTGACACATGAAAGTATAGCTTATATACTCTACATGAAGTTTTACAGGTATCTAGTTGGCCCAAGATGTAAGTGATATTCTAAACAGACCATCCAAACCTTGCTTAGGGTTTACCTGGGATAGCAGTTGCCAGTGAAGAATATTTCACTGTTGCTATATCTCATCAATTTCCAATAACCCTGTGGCTCGCTAGGTTAACATCCTAATGTGAGAAGTGAAAAGATTAAAACCCAAAGAATTCTAGTGATTTCCCAAATGTAAAAGAGTCATTCATCCAAAAACGTTTCATGCCTTCTCCAGAAGTAATCATATAAAATGACAGTAAAGTAGCAAATATCTGTCTGGGGATGGGGAAACACCTTTTATCAACAGGGTGCCTGAATGAAACGTAATTGTACACCTAACCCTTAACTGTACCCCACAAAACCATAATAAAAATATTGATTATAAAAAAAAAGACAGTAAAAGCTCTTCCTACATATTTCTATATATTGAGTACCTCCTATGTTTCAGGCACCAAGTTAAGTGACTGAGACAGAATGTGAATCTAGACCTTCACTTTGAATAGTCAGTGACTGGACTAGGTCCTGGGGAAACAGATTTGACCAAGATATGGTCTTCTTTCTCAGGGAGTTCACAGCCTTGTGAGGAGGACAGACAATTAAAGCATCTTCTGCTATATGCCTTCATCAAGAGCAAAAAGAGTTTATACTTATATACATTTTTGTTTTGTTTTGTTTTTGAAGTTGGAGTCTCACTCTGTCACCCAGGCTGGAATGCAGTGGCACACTCATGGTCACCACAGCCTCGATCTGCTGGGCTCAGGCAACCCTTCTACCTCAGCCTTCCAAGTAGCCAGAACTATAGGCATGTGCTATCATGCTCGGTTAATTTTTTGATTTATTGTAGAGACAAGTTCTCACCAAGTTTTCCAGGCTGGTCTCGAACACCTGGGCTCAGATAATCCTCTTGCTTCAGCTCCCCAAAGTGCTGGGATTATAGACTTGAGCCACCGTGCCCAGCCTACATTTATACACATGTGGAAGACATTTACCAACGTTTCTATTGAGTATTATAGGTTTATATGTGGTGGCTTTAGGAAGAGCCTTACTATGTGTCCCAGTGCTGCCCAGGTATAGGCATTGATTTTTACCAGAAAGTCCCAGCTATGTCCTCAAGCCTAGAAAACCGCAAAGAACTCATTTCTTTCCAGTGAGTAAGGTTCAGAATGAGCCCTATTGTCCCAGACCTAGAATGCCTGGTGGAGCTTGTCTTGAATCCTCTCACCTGGCAGAGGCCCTGCCCAACTAACCCTGCTGACTCCTCCTGCCTTGAGGCCCGACCTTCTCCTGCACTAAGAGAGTGAGTTCACTCCGGAGAGGGCTGCCTAGAGCCAAGAGACTGGCCAGTCCAACCAAAGCCCCAAATTCTGTTGTCATGCTTGCCCATGGTGACAAGAATGAAAGAGAAACATGAGGCAGAAAAGGAAAGGAAGTGCTTGGCGAAGGGGGAGAGCCAATCGGTCCAGAGGGAGGTAGGTGAGCCATGAGTCATCTGAGAGAAGAGGAGACATGTCTGGTGAGAGATGTGCCTGGTGGGTCTGAGAAGCTGCAGAGAGGCCTGTGTGCCTGAGGCTGTGTAAAAGGAGAGGTCATTGGGGAAGGGCAGGGAGTGGGCTGGGTGGGGGGGTCTGCAAAGTTTGCAGGGTCTTGTAAGCCCTTGTAATGACTTACATTTAAATGGGCTATCCTGAAAGCAATACATTGAGAAAAATACAAATTATTGCCACAATACAGTTTGCAGCAGACAAGTGACTACAGTTGAAAAGACATGGACTTTGAGGTCTGGTGGACCATGTCTTAAATTCTAGGTCTACCTTAGATAGCCTCATGCAATTGATTTAACCTCTCTGTTTCTGTGTCGGTAACATGGGATTACTGTCTCCCTCACTGGTTGCTGTGATGACCAAATGAGAAAATGTAAACAAAGGATAGTAGTAGTTAGTCAATAAATGCTTCCTTCCTCACTCTGAATAAGAAGAAAAACACATGTTTTCTTTTAAATCCACAAACCCAGTCAAGACATTGGGCTTTCAAGGCTATAGTTAAAGCAAAACAAATAACTCTGCCACCTAAGAGTTGGATGGATTTAGAATGGTGCTTGAGAAAAAACAAAAAATGTTTCATTTGGCAAGACATGTTTCGGTTTAATTAAATTTAGAAACATATATTTACAGACAAATATCCTGGAAGTTTAAATAGTTAGTATTATTCAGGTTTTTCTCTTCTTTAAACAAACTCCAGAATGAAGTTACATCATCTCACCAAAACTGGAGTCTAATGCATCTGGCTATAGACTGTACTTTTGAAATGATTTATCTTTAAAATAGAACAATGTGTGCCTTTGGAGAACCTTAAATTAACGAAGACCTTTGCCAATTTACTGTGTTTTAAAAACACAGCCTATATTTATATGTAAATCTTAAACTGGAATTTGTTTTAAAACTAACTTATTCTGAAAAAATTATAAAACAAATTATACTAGAAGAATTATCATGAAGATTTAAATGAAATCTGAAATCTCAAAGCTTTGGTGCATTAACTAATTTAAAGAATAATTCTTTTTAACCATGCATTCAAAACAAAGGTACTTCATGTTGGTTCTGTTTGAAACTTTGAAGACAAGTAATATATCATATCCCAACTAGCCCTTGCCAAAATGTAGCTCCCATGGTCTTTTCTCCATCCCCTATGTAGCTCCCATGGTCTTTTCTCCAAGCCTTTCTGACTTGGATATCCTGGTGAAACTCTTGTGATAATAATAGTTAGCATTTCTGTGTATTTATGATGTTACTGGCACTGTTCTAATACATTTTACATGTTTAAAAAATTCATTTACTCTTCTCAACACCTTGTGAGGCTGGCACTAACATCCCCGTTTTATAGGTGAGGACACTAAAGCACACAGCCTGTAAGTAACTTCTGCAAGTAACTTATTCCTATTTCACTGAAATAGGAATTAAATATCCTAAGATAAACAACAAAGCTAATTTCTCAAGACAGGCAGCTGAGACAGTTTCTCTAGACTGGTTTTCTGGGACTCCACAGAGAAAAATAGGGTGTGGAGAAAATCCAGTTAGAGCCAGCTAAGACCAAGATGGCAACTAATTTCCCTGCTACCTGACCTTATTCCTCAACATATGCTCATTATAATACATTAGCGTGTTCAATGACACACCCTCCAGTGCCAAGGCAGTTCTTACCCTGCCCAGTTATAGTAACAAACTGGTTGGAACTTTGGTTCTTAAAAAGCTCCACCTCTTCCCCCCAGAAGACCCATGAATATCCCACCCCGTGTTTAACATATCATCAAGTGATAACTATAAAAACAAAAAACAAAAAACCAACATACAGCTTCTGTTCTTCCTACAGACCAATCCAGGTTACTCTGCCTATGAAGTAGCCTGTTCTTTGTCATTTCATTAACTTGCTTTCATTTTCCAATGAAAACCCCAGCAACAGGAGCTGCCCTGTCTACAGAGTAGCCTTCTTTCTGTTCCTTTTTTCTTTTTATAAACTCAATTTTGTTTTACTTAGGTGGCTTGCTCCTCAATTCTTTCTTATGCAGAGCCAAGAACCCCCTTGGCCTTTTGGGCCAGATCCCAACTCTCGAGGTCCCCAGTTCTGTGTCAATACAAATGATAAGTGACAGAGCCAGGACATGTGCCTAAGCAGCCTGGCTCCCGATTCGATGGGGGATTATAGGAAATAACATTAGCCATGGTCAATAACTGTTGAAACTGGATAGTGAATTATGAGAGGACATTATATTATTCCCTCTACTTCCACATAGATTTGAAATGCCCTTAAGAAAACATTGATTTAAAATCATCATCTTGATGGATATGTGATAAAGTAAGTAAAATGTTAATAGTTGAAACTAGTTGATGGAATGCAGGTGCTCATGGTAAAATTCGTCTGCCTTTTTCACATAGTTGAAATTATTTTACAAAATAAGTGTTAGGAAAAAAAAACCGCTATATCACTACAATGTAAATTCTCTGCTCCTATTTCTGAGCTTCTGAAGATGACATGAACTCAAATTATGAAAGTCTGGTGGACTGTCAGTAACACTTATCAGTCCTGAGTACCCCTGAACAATTAGTCTCAATCTTTTCCCCACTCTCCGTAAATAATAGTGTCTTCAGGTGTAACATTCACTGAGAAAACTGAGGACATTAGACATGAGAGCATTCAATGTCCCACAAACTTAGATATTCATCCCCCCTCATCCTCACCTTTCTTCCAGGCCAACTCCCTCTCAAGCCTTCCCCCCCGTCTGCCTACCTACCCCCTCTAGACATTGCTGTTAATCTCCCCCCTCCCTCTTTCCTGGCCTCTTCCCCTCAGTTTGTAGACTCAAGGCATATGTTTTTACCATCCTGAAGAATGCCTCTCTGACCCCGTGTTCCTCCAACTTGATTCTCTCTAAAGTATGAGAAGATACAGACAGTTCTTCAAATACTGCCCCTGTTCATCCCCCAGTCACCCTCAGTCCCTGCAATGTGCCTTCCTCCCTGAGCATACTACCATGTACAACGCTGCAGTCATCACATGTCCCATTCCCTGGTCACCATGATGTCAACCCCAGGGTCTCTGCATACCTTCCCTTTCTGTGCCCTTACATTTCCAAGTGTCTATTAACAGTCCCCTGCTCTTCCCACCCAACACATGTTCCTGTAAGATTTCTCTCCCTTTCATGGTTTCCCCTGACACATACCTGCTGATGATTCCCTAAATCCTTCTCTCCAATCCAACCCCCTCTTCGGATGCAGACTGCTGTCCCACTGCCTACTGGACTTAACTAAGATGTCCTCACAAGCTCTGAAAATTGATGTGTTCCAAATTAACCTTTCAATCCTCCTAAAACTGCTCCTCTTTCCTGAGCTCTCTCTTATCT